AAATAATTAAGGTATCATACACATTAATCTATTAGATCAATAACAGAAATTTCAATGCAATATTTACTCAAAATTTAAGATTTATTTGCAGTGGTGTAGCAATATTGACTACATAGAGCGCCGTCATTTAATTTTACCGTCATGAGCATTTTGTTTTATTCAACATTTTAGCTTGTTTATATTAGCTAATGAATTGTTCAAATAATTTAACAAGTACTACATTACAAGAAAAAAACTCATTGAAAATAAAAACAATATGTATGTTATAAGAGTGACAAGTGAAATAACTTGAGAGAAACCATGTTGTCAGCGACGTCAAAACTTAGACGGTTCAACTAGGTTATAACCGTTACGGTATTATTATTTTAATGTTTACAGCTTTCATTATGACCATTTCCTTCTGTCGCTCTGTCGGATACCACCGGTGTGTAGTATCAACCGCATCGTAGTTGATTGCCGTTTTCTTCGTATCTAAACATCAATTCAACATTTTGACGTCTGTAAAAGTTTTGCTATTTACCAAGTTTGCGTTTCCCGTAAAGCATCGAATTTTGGTCATTATCAGCACTACACGTATACATGTAGAGCTACCACGCCATTATCATCGGTCAAAATATAATATAATCCCAAAAGGTCATCACACAATTCCTTATATTTATTTTGGGTCAAAATTATATTTTAGTTGCTTAGTTATATAATTGAAATTATAAAACATTTATTGCGTATTAAGCATATTAATTGTTTTCAATGAGAATTTTTAAGGAGCCCATTGAAACATATTCAAACTGTAGCTTTTGATGATAAAAGATAAATAGTTCAATGTAGCTAGAACTGCAAAATATTTTACTTGAATCTTTTCAGATAATTAGTTATAATATTACAAATGAGGCATAATCCCTTGTTATAATAACATCTCGGTTCCAAAACCCTTCTTACCCGATATCTAGGTGTTTGTCGATATGTTATTGCTGCGAGATCATATTATACCAGTTGAAACCTAAAGATAAAATAGGAATCAAATTTCGGGAAAAAGTCGTAAACTCAATGGTAAAATTAAATTTGAAAAATGAAACGCGATATCGTCAATATCAGGTTTTCTTTTTGAAAAGAAAGAGTATTATTTTTCTTTTCCTTCCATCTATTTTTTTGCTATCCTAGTCGAAAGCGAATTGCTCTTGTTTACATCCGGACAAACGATTGCTATAGACAAGAAGACTTTTTATTTATTAAACGACATTATCATTTTCATGTTAGACCAACGTTTTTGTTTTTGGCGTGAACAAATCGAAGCAACTTTTGAGGTTTCACAGCAATGCACTTTTTATCTTCACGCTAGTTATAAACTGTTCCCGTGGTTAAACTTTACAATAGTTGACCTATTTTTTTTTTTTTTTTTTTTGGTTTTTACAGTTTGGATTGGGAAAAAACTTTGGATTAAAGGTTTATCATACTACTTGCGGTAGCGCCGACAAATAAACATAATTCATAACACCCCTGTGTATTCACTGCAGCTAAGAGCTTTAAAAGTTAAAAACAAAATAAAAAGAACGGGATACAATTTCATTTTGTGAACAAATTAAAGCACATTTTTAAATATTTTCTAGGAATAAATTACTCCTAGAAAACTTTTTAGAAGGGAGCATTAAATTAATTCTCATTGTACATTTTATTACAAACAATTTTTATGAGTGGCTACACCATTGACGTTATCATTCGACTACACAAAATATAATGTATTTAACCCTAAGTAATCATAATGTTATATTGTTGATATGCTTTTCTTCAGCTATACTTTTTAGAAAATTTTTAAAGAAAATATTTTTTGTGTTTGTGTTACCGTAACAAAAACCATTACTTTTATAATGACAGTGACAAGTTTAAATAAAATTAAGAAGTGTGAAAAATAATACAAATTTTATAGGATTCACTTAATAAAACAGATATTTGTAAAATTTTCCAACTGGTTTTGTGAAAAATTAATATGACAACATAAAACTGTTATTGGTAAATACTATTACTTTAAACTACATTGGGTTAAATTTAATTGTGTAAAATCTGCGGTTAATTAAAATTCAGAATTATTTAGACTTTCCATTTATAATTTTGCAAATTATATGAAGTATACATAGGAACTTTAAATCAAGCTTAAACCAACGAGCATAATTTATTATTTCCTTGTTTATTGTGCAACAGCAACTATATTTTTACGTGCACCGTGCCAACAGGCGGCGACATAATATTTGTGTGAGAGAATAAGTAAAATATTATAATGTTTTTAAACAATAATATTGTTTGCGTGTCCTGATAATGGATTATGCTTTAAGTATGGTGAAGGCAGTAATGTTGTGTTATTAGCTTAGGTAAACAGCACAATGATGGCGCGATCCGATCACTGGTAATCGGTTGACATGCGACTGCATGGGTCTTATCGCAATGTTTTTAATTTATCATTATACCTACCTCGTCCGTCCTTTTGCGTGTATTATTATCAAAGTACATTAACATAATTTCATATTAAAATATGCCCTTTCCATACCACAACAAGGACTTAAAAAAACGTGCGCACACATTTCTACGAAATTCTAATTAACCACTTTCTAAAAATATTTAATTATCATTTTATCGTTCAATGTGGTGAAAGTTTCCCTCGCATCTTTTTAAATACATTGAAAAGTACTTAATTTAACAATTGAGCAAATAATGTACGTGTATAAAAATAATCATTTATACATCAAATAACTTTGGCCAATTATAACTCTATTTTTACTAAGCAGTAAACATTTATTTAATAAAAGCTAGTTAACTAACTCCTCACATTTAGGAATACAAACTAATTATGTTTTAATCCAGGGGTGCATTTAGAACTATTTTTACATAAGTTGTCCAATTTTTTTTAAAACGGTATGAATGATAGATAAAATTTTTTGCTATACAATATCCCAAAAATAATTGATGGTTTGTAGTGTCATATTTCGTAAATTTTGACTTTATAATATATGGATTACATTGGTACAGAGGGGTGGGGGCAAAAGCTTCCTAAAATACGTCTCTTTTATATTCTATCTATAATCATGGAACATAAATTTTTAATTGAACATAGTTTTCTTATAAACTCGAAATGTTACCGTTACATGTAAGAAATATTTGATTTTTATATTTTGTTTATTTAGACAACCCAGTTATTAAAAATTATTTCATTTATTGCCTAAACCTTGATGCGATCATTATTAAAATGTATGTAATTACTGATAATCCAAGTATAGGAAAAATTGAAAACGACTAACATAAGTCTGCACTATATAATATATTAGTCAAAGAAACTTTCATAGTACAAATAATATAGTTTTACTCGTAGTTATTAATTATACTAAAATATTAACATCGTCTACAACAATATTGTTAACGAGTATGATATTAATTCTTAAATAGTAGGTAGTTATTATAATACCTATTAGATTTCAAAGGCGTAATTTACTTTAAATTAATTTTATTCCGTGGTACTTGGTTGGGTTACATAAATGATGTAATTAATATCAAAGATATCTCTTTACAAACTTATATACTTGATATAAAATGTTCAATTTTAACATAAAAATATCAGCAATACACCACAAATCACATTGAAAAATATTAAAAACAGAATAATATCGTAATAACTCATTATATAAAATAAAAAAAAAAATTCATCAAAATGTAACGCGTTTACTCGAGAAACGTAATAATAATTATCTTTTTGTTTCCTACAAAATCACAAAGAAAACTGTTCACTCAAACAAATATGTGTAACTAAGTAGCAGCTGTAATATGATCCGTAAAGTAGCTCAAACTCGTCGATTCAAACGAACTCTCAATCACAGATCTAAAAAAAAACCACTTAATTAAAATCGAACCTCCCAAGTCGAGAATCTTATGACATTATTTTAAACAACACGTTCACTCGAAAAACTGCGAAAACTAAAGAAACCAAAATATAAATTCGATAATAAATTCTTTATAGAATAACATAACGCCTAAGAGCATTAAGTTTACTATAGAGTTCTTTTGTATCTTATTTTTGTTAACTTTTTTTTGTTCTGAAAATTTTTCTGTAAATACTTTTGACGAATTGTCATTAAAAATCCAAAAACGCATCAACGCTAATAATATACTACAACCCGAGGCAAAAAGCTTTTGGATATCACGTTCAATGGCTTGAGGCAATGAGCCCGTGATTTTAAACGTACCCCATAACAGGTCGTCTGCTGGTACATGTATGTGAGCGAATTTCAGTTGTCGAGGGGTTAAAACCACGACGGACCAGGACATAATTCAATTTCAAAGCGGAGCCGGTCATTCTTAACGCCGTGAAATTTGATTAGACTCGCCCGTCACGTTTCAGTAAAAGCAAACTACACACGCGTTTCTATTATATTATAAATGTAGTGTACATTGTAACATAGCGACTCGCGAATGGTTTCCTTCAGGAATGTTTAACTTTGACAGTGACGACATCCACGAGCAGCGTTCGAATTGCGGCCACTTTTACCGAGAAAAAGACCACACCGAAACTAAGTTTATGTGTTAACCACCTCTTACATTTCATAATAAAAAAACATTGTGGTTGCAAAACCAATTTTGATAGTAACAATAAGGGAAAGGCGCAACGCTTTGATAATGTAAACGAAATGTTAGTAATTTGTGCGCTGGAGGGCAAGACCGAGTTTCGATTTAAACTATACAATAACAATACGACACAAGTATTATTTGAACGGCGGAATTGTTTTTCGAGGACTCGAACGCACTGCGTTATTAATTCCTCGCAATCGACTACGATCGTATGCAATTTTTTCCTTTTCTATGGTTGTGAAAGTTTGCCAGTGGCATGCACTCGGAGTGCTACGCATTATTGTTCTGAGCAGAATTAAATCAATCTAAATTTAAAACTTTATAAGGATAAAGCAAGTTTTCGCGTAAAACAAGTGAAACGCACGTGCCTCGAATACGCCAAAGTGCGACGTCGCTACCCTTTTCCATTGGATCGTAGAGTGTATATTGCGTCGGGTCTATTAAACACGTTGTCTCGACGGGCGTTTTGCAAGAATATATTGAAATTTGATGCCCGACACGATTGTAGTCAACAATGTCGAGGGATATTGCACATTTTATCGGTAAATAATTGTTATTTTAAGTCTTTGAGCGCATCTCAACTAAAATAAATACAACTCGATTTAAAAAAACAGTAATCAATTATGAATAATTTCATAATTAACTGTCATTTCCTGCATACTCGCTAGGATTAGCATCTATAAGCCGACAAACGTTTCCATAAAATATTTATTAACCATGATGAAAAATACTCAATGCGCAAAATCATTTCCTAATTCAGTTTTTATCGCAATTCAATTTAATTAAGTATTTATTAAACCAATAAAAAACGTATGAATACCGAAAAACAAGTAGTAAATCATCTGAGAAAATATATTGGCCATTAAACGAGAGGGTTTATTGAAAAAACATTTTAAAAAGCTATTTATTGCCTCTTGATTTGTCGAATTTATTGATTTTGTAACGTTTTAACTGACTAATGTGTGCTAACCGTCAAGCGCATGCATTGACAAAGAGATTTTCATTTACCATCGCATCAATAACCATTCAGACGTCAATTCAAACCCATAAAACAGGATTACCCGTTCATCTTTTGAAGCCGCGGAAATGTTGCCCATTCCGATGTTTGCTCGACCAGATAACTCGAACATTTATTTTTTTATTTTTTTTGTTTTCGAAATAAATTGTCTTCAATATTTCTTATGCAGAAGAGATCAAAAAAATCTTTTAAAATAGTCTCTCGATCCGCTATTAAAAATTTTTCACCTAAGTAAATCAATTTTGAAACTGAAAAATGTTTTACAAACTATTTTTACGACTTACCACAAAACATAATTATTTCACTCAGTTAGAAATAAATTTTTACTTTTAATTAAAACTTTTTTTTGTAACTGAGGTGATATATTTTTACAGTATGAAAATATTGTAAATGATGACCACAAATCAGTGACAAATTTGCATAATGTTAAATAATACCATTTATACCTCTAAATAGGGTTAAGTGAGAATGTGAAGTTTATGACGTCAATCACATTGTACTGAATGTAAAGGGAGGACGTCTGAACAGTTTTACGAGCCTAATGTTTATATGTTCATGTGTTCATTAATATAATAATAATAATTAAAGTGAGTGGCAGTGACAGCGCTTTCAAAAGTTAAACCAATTAATTGTTCAAAAATGTAGAATATACTCGGACACTAAGTTCGAGTATAAATATAAGTCACAAAAATCTAATATGGTATTTACAACAATGGTGAGGAATATCATCATATTTTTATTGCATATGAATGTGCATATTTGCATTTAATATAATATATTATTTGATTCAATTTAATTTTATAATCAAAGAAAAATAAAATATTTTTAATAAAAAAAAAAAATATACATTCTAATTTTAGATTATAATTACCAGAGTTGTGTATTATACTGTAGGAATTCCCTCAAATGACGCAATACACGAAATAACCAAAAGAATAGATCAAAAATGGCAAAACATATGGAACGAAATATCACTCAACATTAAACTTGAAGAAATAAAAAGAACCACAAAAAAATGGCATTCAAATGTAACTCTGACAAGAAGACAAGACGTATTCTTAACAAGAACTCGAATAGGGCATAGTTACCTCACCCACGCACATGTTCTGAACCATGAACCACAACCAATATGCCCAACCTGCAATAAACCTGTCACCACAAAACACATATTTACAGAATGTACCAAATACAACAACGAACGCCTCATATTCAAATTCCCAAACAACATCCAAAACATCATAAAAGAAAATAACGAAGAAAGCATTCTTAAATATATAAAATTGCTAAACCTGTACTCTTTAATTTAATATATAATATTGCATAGACTTTTTATGATTATATAAATGTAACTCTGGCTAATGACCACTGATGTCGAAGCCTTAATAAAAAAAAAAATAAAAAAATTTGTGAATTATATATAATTATAAATTTAGTCAAGTTAATCCGTACACACCATTAGCCAGTATAAAATTTTATTTCAATTAAACTTTATTTATTGGTGAAATTGACTTGAAAATTTAGTAATTAGGTTTTTTTTATGTTATAAAACGAAAAAAAATCTGCATTATTATATAATTCTACGACAAAATTACTCAAACTTGTAACTCTTTAAAGTGACTCAAAAAAATTGTAATTAGTAGTCTTGTATATTACGAACGTTAACTTTTTTAGAATACAAAATTGTAGTTTTTATTAGATTTGTATTTTATATAAATTTTAAATTGAATAAAGAAACTCAAATTAATCAATATTATTGAGCTTAAGTGTTTTATTCTCACTAATAAGGAGTATTACATCAGTCAACAAAATGCGTATAATTCACAATTCTCCACATAAACTACTGAGAAAACAATTTGTAATAATTAATTAATTTTGAGCCAGGTTAAGGTGTATCACTTAATAAAGTCTGAACAGATTTATTACTGACGAGTTCGGTTATAAGTAATTTTAGTTTTAAAAATCATTATATGAATATCTTGCGACATTAAAATCAATACAAAATATAACAGCACAGAGAACAAAGCATTAAGAAATAAACCAGCAATAGTAAATATCGTTAAAAAGCGGCAGAAACATCTAATAATATTAATATCGAAAAGAATAATACAAACAATGAGAGAGAAAGATATGTTGATAACATCAAAATGGCAAATAGTTGAACAGGAAATTTTGTTCAAATGGCATTTTCAAATAGACTACCCTAAGCAAATCGAACTACTTGTTCCCTTAATATAGCTTAAATATACATTCTCATATACCACACACTATATATATATATATATATACATGTATACATATTACATGTGTATTACTGTTGTGTTTATTGTATTGCATTACAAATGAGCCCTGTTATCCACTTATGTTGTGTGTGCGTTATCTGATGGAGCCTTTAAAAGTTTTTCAGAATACGCCTAGCGCCAATATCTAAACATATCCCAAACTAAAACTTTTATTTCCTTTTATAAGTGAACACAATGTGCATGAACTGTCTGCAGGTCGGCTCCAAACAGCGCTAATACACTAAGTAACAAATTATTTACAAGTCAATGAGCCACACTGAATACATACATTTCTTAAAATATCAATTGAGCACCAGTGATCTTAAAAATATTTATGTAGAGGTCGTAAGTAATTTATAATTTAATTGAAATATTACTACAATAATCGAATTATCAATTTGAATAAATCAATAATTAAAAAAATAAAAATAACTCTAGTTGAATATTTCCATTGTATTTAATTACATATAAAATATTAGTATAAAATTACAATTATTCATTAGTTCAACTACTAAAATTCTTAATTAGCGTATGAATTAATATTATGTTAGTCACAACAGTCACATTTCCTGGTGTAAATAAAATAAACATGTTCTGACTCAAACTCGACATAAATTATATTTATTAATTAAATGTGTTTGACAACTATAATTCATTAATTTTAAAATGTTATTAATAGATATATGATATCCAAATAATTTTAAATAACTATTATATTACTTTTACATAACATAGCATTAACAAAGAGATAAGTTCAAATTTATGATGTAATTCTATTAAAGAAAAACATTTTGTTGGTGAGAAAAGAAACAAAGAAAGATTTTTTTTCTTTCAAAGTCAATTCCCTATCAGTGTTGCTGATTTTTGTATTCTAAATCAGTTCCGTCTCTTCTTGCTATATAAGGTTATCGGAGCCTGAACGTCGCCTATTGCCATTTTTCAATTCGCATGTACATATTTCTTTACTCTTCGAAATGTTTAGATTAAAAAGGATTGGTATTCGAAATAAATGGAATTTTTATAATTTATTACCATAGCCATACTGAATAAGCCAGTAGATTTGTTAGCATTTTCTTGTAGTATTTTCAAAATTAAATTTCCGGTCTTCTAACTAATTTAAAAAATTACAGACAAAGAAAATCAACACTTAAAAATTATTTTTAAAGAATAAATATAAGTATATTTATTTGTTAGTTCCTACAGCATAACACTTATTAATTTCGATATGTACCTGAGAAAAGGTATTGGTTTTTTTTTTTTTTGTGTGTGTCACACTTACTTCCACTCCGACTATTTAAATGATTCTTGAATCGTTAAACAATACGAACATGTAAACCATACAGAAAAAAATTGACATATAAAATACCATTTGTTAAACTATAACTAAACTTTTATTTTGATCCCCATTAAAAAAAAAATAAAAACATAAAATTGTGCTAGTTTTATACTAATTTATTTGTATAAAAAATAACGGTAATTTTTTTCAACTTAAACAATGAATTCACTTCAAGCAAATTAAGTATCATTGGTTATTTTATACACAGAGTTAAAAAATGTTTCTTGTTTTAACGTTATTGAATAATGTGTCATAAAAAATAAAATAAAATTTAAGAAACTAGCAAACGACAACGTGTATTACCTGTCTTTGAATGTTTTGATATCAAAACATTTCGGACATTAAAAATCCTACAAAATTGCAATATTATTCTTTTATTGTTATTACTATCCACACAGTTATTTCCTATCCGTTTTATGATACAAGAGTTCTAGGAGACGTAAAGGGTACTTTATCGTTTCTTATTGTATATTATTTTGTACATATTCTTCAAAAAGTTTATGATATTCTAAGTTTTCCTACAGGGTTCAATAACTAATATATATATATATGTGTGTGTGTGTGTGTATGGATACTGTGATATACTCCCTAGAGTAGAAATTCTTGTGAAGATAAAAAAATTAAATCTTTTATAGGGTGACATTCTTGTGGATTCTTTATCTTTACCTATCAACAACGTTTGCTTTGATGTTTGAAGGGTCGTAACGACCTGGTACTTCAACTAGGACAAGAAGCGAAGGTAGTAACAACACAAATACACTATTGTTAGTATATATGACATGCTGCTGTTTGAAACTCTTAGTCAGTTCCCCGAGGAAACCCTCATCAAAATTGGAAAAGTGAATGAGAAAATAAAACGACAATAGTGAACATAGAGTAAATCATGCTGAGTAATTTAACGCCTACTCTATATAGGGTGTTCAGTAAGTAAAGAAACGGGTTTCTATTGTTCTCATTGTTTGTAACAACTTACCTATTTCCATACTTACAGAATCTTGTATAATACATACAAAAAAATATTTTCGTTTAGCCTAAATAAACCTTATCATTAAATGTTTTTTTTTTACATCTTTGTTTTGTAAAAAAAGTATAAATTACCATTTAAATAACAATTGATTAGATATTTAATAAGTAGTAACATTTAATTATTAAAATATTTAAAAATGTATTTTCAACAAATGAAGTTAAATAAATTTTATACAAAATTAATGAATTTTTCAAAGGGTATAACGGATATACCGGTTGCAAAAAATTCAATAGGCACAAATCTCATACTTTATTGATAGATAAGAAACAAAAATTTAGGATAAACTAAACATGAGAAACGTGCATTTTAATTACATATTTGTAACATGTATTTAAATTACTAGTAAAATAATTTCTTGATGGGCCGTCTGCAGTCAAGGTTTTAACTGCAACGCATTGTCTACAATAATATAACTGTTGACATCTATTTTATTTATTTATTTATTTAAATAAAGTAAAACAAAAGAAAAAAGACTTCTAGTATTCGGGACATGGTCATACAGAAGGCTACTTAGTATAAGCTGGACAGTATACGTTAAAACAAGAAGAGCTAAGTTAGTTGGTAAAATCTGGATCATAACAATTTACTTAGTAGGATAATAGAAGGTGCCATTGAAAGGAATAACAGCAGAGAACGATCACCAATAGACTATATTAGTCAAACAGTTAATAATATGGACTACAGATCTTATTGCGAATTACAGAGGAAAGCGAAGAGTCAGGAATGGAAAATTGCTGCCAATCAGCCTTAGGCTTTAAAAAAAAAAAAAAATTAATAAACTAATTTAAAACGATTTTTTAAAAATGCATTTTTTATACTGAGATTCACTAGGTTATGACATTTTTAATAACCAATAATCAAGCAAATATTTTACATTATTTTGCAAAAATTATTTTGACAGTTTTACATAACGTAAAATGTATACATTTTTATTATTTTTCTATAATAAGAAAAAACAAAATAAAATGTTTGATTTCTTCAAAATTTTAAAATAGCTACCTTGCAACATTCAAATAGGTATTTATTGAGTTATAAGAATGGAAAAATGCGGGTATATATAGCACGTATTGGTGTATATTACATATTATACTCGTGCTACATAATCAATATATTAAAATACTCATAACTTGATAAGTACTTATTATAAAGACGTTATCAACTCATCGAAATTTTTTGAAAGATAAGAGATAAATAATGACTATTTAAAAATTTTAAAAAATTTTAAATTTTATTTTTTACTTATTAGATAATATAATAAAATAATATTAAATATAGTAATAAAATATAGTACTATTACAAAGTTCAAATATATTAAAATTAAAAAAAAAAAGTAATGCAAAATATTTACTGGATTAAAAGTTTTAAAGATAAAGTAAGTTTCTATGATATCCCTTAATAATAAGATTTTTGTACAAGAACCTATATATAAGTATAATCTATGTGCAATTTATTATTATGTTAAAAATATGCAACTTTTTTAAAATTTTTAACGGAGGCCAAGGCTCACGGTAAAAAAGTAATCCCAAAATAAGTTTAAATCGTAACACTTATAACATAACGTTACTACAGGCACTGGACTAAACAGTAATTGAAATAGGAAGTAATAATAATACAAAAAACAATGATTATAATATTAAATCAGTACTTTTCTGTTTTACTTCAACGACAACTTTGAAGATATGTTATCGAGACAAATATATTTAACTTGTATTATTTTATATAAGCTCTAATTTAACATATTTTAAAGGATTTGCATTTTCTTAACCATATTCAAAAGTTAAGTTCAAAAATTTTAATCAGATTAACTAATT